CATTAATCACCCTTCAGTTTTATCTAAATTATAAAAATCCCCCCTTTTATTTTAAAATCATATTGGAACCTCCTTTAAAATTAAGTTGTAACATATAGAACCCTCTACGATATAATTAAGAACCTATTTTCATATACCCAAATACTTTAATTGACCATTAGTTGGACTCTTAAACGTTTATTTTCATCAAAATACTCTTTTTTTAATATAAGAATTATTTAATCATTTCCAAAATATAATTTTTACACGTCATATAAATTCTTCTAAAACATATATTTTCAAACTTTCTAACATATTATAAAATTTATCAATTTTTCTTATATCATAAAATTTTATAATTTTAATTTTCTCATTTTCTAGATATAATTTGTCAACAACATAAAATTAATTCTAATACATATATTTTCAAACTTATCAATACTTTATAAAACAGACAAAAGTTGCTTTTTTAAAAAAAAATTCATAGTTTGAAGCTGCTCATAAATGCAAACATTTCAATGAACCATGAAAATGAGAATTTTAAAAAACAGAACCCGTATAAAAAAAAACTGAAAATACTTCATGGTTATTAGGCTAAAACTGTCAAGTATTCTCAAAATAGTTGACGGTTTTATGAGTAACCATGAAGTATTATTTGATAAATAGAATCAGGTTAGCATTCAAACCAATATACTGTAATTAATAATTCAATCATATGAATCTAATTAACCATGTACCAAACAAAAATTTACATCATATGCATCTTAATGACAAACCAAATGTTATACAATATGTTGTCTTAAGCCAAATCAAAATTTTGGATAAGTACAAATGGCAAAAGCCAAAAGCCAACCAAAACCAAAATTAGCCAATTGCCAAAAACCACAACAAAATTGTTTGATGCCAAAACTAACAGCATAATATTGAAACCAAAGCAATCTTCTACTTCCTTATTTATTTTGTGCCTACTGATGGTACAAAACCATTGCCAGCTCTTCAACGATTTCTTCTATTTGAGCAGATGAATACACTATGTAATATGTGTCGGTAAAATATTATATGCAAAAACAAATTGAGGTTAGATATAAATGTAAAGCTACACTAAGTATAATTCTAAAATTATAAATTGAACTTTAACAAATGCATCTTACCTTCACAGGGATTATGTCGAAATTGTGCATAATTATCTCCTTCACGACTTTTCATCAGCTACATTATGACGCCTATCCACATAGTCTATACAGACTGTCCAATCCCTATCGAGTAGAGATTGCACCTCCTTAACGATCCTATAATCATCATGTTCTCCCGCAACACCCTTCGTAATTAGCTCAAGTGCATTAGTGGAGTCGGTTTCTACCACCTTGTCTGCAACCTTCATCCTATGCCAACTTTAAACCATGTAAGTAAACCCAAATTTCGGCCAAACAGAGATATGATAATGGAGCAAAAATAATTGCTCATCCTATGATCTAGTTTCAATTAAAATCATTTGGAAGGTTCCAGTGAACAAGAGTATCTAATCCAAAATTGCAACAAGGCAAAAGGAACCAAAAGTTGTACCAGGAAAAATGCAACAAGGCAGAAGGAACCACAAAATCATATTAGAGATTTAAAGAAGAGCATGACCAATCTGAAGCTATAAAGTCTGGAGAACATGTCGTGATAATGATGGAGGATGACCACAGAGCGTGACGATGATAGAGGATGACCACACAGCGCAACGACGCAACAATGATGGAGGAGGATCACAGAGAGTGACGATAATGGAGGAGGAACCATAAAAACAACAGGGAAAGACCAAAAATGATGTGGGGATGGCAAATTAGAGGATTGGGAGGTTTGGGCAGAGCTTATGAAGCAGAAGGATGCCCAAAATTTTAAAACAAGGTTAAGCGAAATGAACAGATTAGGGGTTTTAAGACACTCTTGATAATTTTTTAATATAACTGTCAAGTACGCTTGACAAATAATTGACAGTTATATTGAAAAACCATCAAGTATTACTAAACTTGACGGTTTTCAGAGAAACTGTCAAATTTTTGTTTTTCATGCTTGACAATTCTTTCTAGAACGCTCAAGTATTCTCAAACAATAATTGACGGTTCCTTTTAAAACTATCAATTTTTGTCCTGAAAAATTCCACCTCTCTTTATTTGACAGTTTTTATTATAACCGTCAAATATTTGACGTCAAGTATTTGTAATTCTGTAGTCTTGAGACCTCAAGCACATAACTATGCAACAAAATCAAGAAAGCTCTAATTTTCTAAAAACAATAAACACCCTTTGCATGAGGCTAAGATGTGAAAGCCATGGAATTAAAAAAAAGGGCATTTAATCACTCTCGAAAAGATTTTCATCCCCAGAACTATAACAAAATGATAGATTTTCACAAAATTTGAAACAGTTTTGTTTCTTTTTCTTTTTAATAAGAAATACTACCTCCAGTCCTTATTATAAGACTTCGTTTGACTCTTTGTTTGGTCCTAATTATAAGACCCCAATCCATTTTATCTCTCATATTTATATATTTTTTTCCAAGATAATCCTTCTAATAATGATAGTTCTAGCCAATACACTTAATTAGCAAGTATATTTTAGGAATGACAACACTTATTTATTACAAATAACTAACTTAACTTACTTTCTTAATCTCCTTAAATAAGTCAACTGAGTCTTATAATTAGGACTGGAGGTAGTATTTTTTTTTCTAAATATATATTTAAAAGAAATGATGGAATGAGAGAATGAACCTTTTGAATAATTATCAGCCACAAAAGCTGCCTATCTGTTCATCCCATTTTTTTTTAAAAAAAAAAAAGCTCACTATTTGTATAAGCAAGAATCAAACAAGACCACTCAGATTAGCAGCAATACCGCGATGGACAGAGAGCAACGCGTAGGTCAGCGACCCTCCAGTTTCAGTATCTCTTCATGAAGACCTCGATTTGGTATGCTTTCTAGTTCTACCCACTTTGATCTGATCTGGCTAGCAATGGAATATAGGCTCTTTGCTGAGACCTAGTCACTTAGGGTTGATGGAAGTTAAAATATAGGTATCCTTCTATTAAAAGTAATCTTATTCAAGGCACTGTTTAGTACTAAATGTGAGTACCTCTCCCAGTGAGGATTCAAACATTGGTTCGTCACATTATGAGGGACTAGCCCCTTCTGCTAGACCCAACCCTGTTAGTAAATTTGTTTTCATATTAAATCAACTATATTATTCAAGAAATTGGGGGATGCATACCGTGTTGCTCTACTGAAAAGCATGTTCACCATCAGTAATTTTGTTTACATATATTATTTTTTGAGCTACATTATGCATCGTAAGTTAGGAATGTTTGTGGCTTTCGAGAAAAATATTTCCAGACTAAAATTATATAAAAAAAATTATTTTAGAATAATAGGTAGTACTAAAAAGATATTTTAGGACGTTGAATGTATCAAAAATTAGTTTAAAATATTGGATGCTCTTAAAAATATATATATGAGACGAATACATACAACTTAACCCTTATTTAATATGTTCAGCGCTATCAGTACCATTGAATTTTATTAACAGCAATAAAAATTATTGATTTGATTCTTTTCGATTTTTATTATAAATTATCTTATTCATAAAATATAAGCAACACGTAGAAAGAGCAAAATGAGTTAATGTAAATTACATACTAATAATGTCTCTCAATGAAGATCATTTTTTTTATTTCATTTATCTCCCTCTCCCTCTCTTTTTTGTTCCAATTTAAATTACTCAAACCAAATCAAATTCCAATAATTTTCATGTATTTAATATTTAGAATTTTTTTCATTGTAATGAAAATATTAAAGTTAAATTTCTTTTCTTGTTTTTTTTTTTTGGAAAAAAAGAGTAACTATCTCCTTAAGACCGTGGCTTTTGCATAATCCATCATCCAACAAGATACTTACAAGTTATTATATCTAGCATATGGCTATTTATACAAGCCATCTATAAAGAAAACATGTGACAGTATCATGAACAATCATTTACATTGTATTTTCTTAAAGAGATATATGATTTCACCAACCCTTTTAATTTTGCACAGCCCACTAATCAAGATATTATGATTGAAAATATTATGAGCCACATCACTTTTTGATCATCCTATGCAACACAACTCACCAAACATCATTGATCAAAGTGCTCCCACCCATTTAAGGCATTGAAAGTAATTCCAGCACCCTTTTGACCACATTTCATCATCAAAGAAACTACAGCTATAGCTTTGGTTATCTTTCCTTTTATAAAAAATGCATCCAATAATAAAGGCATAAACAGAAGGATTGATGCTTTCTAGCACCATTTTATTTAAGCATCAAAGAGGCGTATGTAACGATATTTGAAGTTATTCCCATTAGTCATTTCATGATGTAAAATTTTTGCTTCAATAACAACCCCTTCTCTACAAAGACCATCAAATAAAGTGGGTAACTGGATATGAAGTTAAATAGGGTATAGAAACCTTTCAAGTGAGGGGATCAAAGTTCATTCAACTCCCATAAACTTATATTAGCCTATCACAGGATAAAATGGCAAACTTCTTGTATTCATCTGTTCTAAAGTTTGAACATTGTTATAAATACAACACTCCAAGGAAAAAGTGTCTAAGCTAAATCTCAATTTTACATATGAACTTATCCCAACTACAAAAGAACTGAAAAAACGACAAATATGGAATTAAAAAATTTTGTATGCCGTAAATTACTAGATACAGATGTTAGGAACAGAAACAAAATAACAGGAAGACAGCCTTAAATCGAACGAGAAGAGATAGATTTTCCCAACGTTTCAAGTAGTTTTGCTTCTAAATATAACAAAAAGGATGGGATGGGAGAATGAACCCCGAAAATAATCATCAGTGGCATATGCTGCCTACCAGTATCAGCAAGGCAAAGACAATCAAATGAACTTAGGGGATTCAACGACAACCATGGCTGATACTGAAATAAAAAAGTGAAAACAACTTTAATTGCCTTTAAATTTCAGCTGCCATCAGACAGTGCATTGGTTAAATATTTCAACAAATTTCAACATGAAAACAAGTATCTGGCTTTCTTTTATCGTCTTTGAAGACCTCTAGCAACTATTTCATGAAGAATATTCTCCGCCTTATCAATCTCACCTTTCTCCAAAAGAGTTCCGATCATTGTTTTAAAAGTTCCAAAATTTGGGAGGCACCCATTGTCAATCATTTGAAAAAGTAATGCCCGTCCCTCATCAAACAAGCCCTCTTTACACAGTCCATTAATCATAGCAGTATATTCTTGGACATTTAGAGAATGACCATTAGCCAAAAGATACTGAAAAACTTGTTGAGCAGTATTTAATTTACCATCCTTGCACAAACCACCAATAAGAATGGTGTGTGTGTAAATATCAGGTTGTTTTCCTAGGACACCCATTTCTTCGAATAGCATAATTGCTTCATCAAGATGCTGGCTCTTGCACAATCCATCCAACAAGACATTGTAGGTTACTATATCTGGCAGATGACCACTATCATGCATATCATAAATAAGTTCCTGCACGTTTGAGATCTTTCCTGATTTGAACAGGCCATCAATAAGAGTATTATATGTCACAATATCAGGAAACAAACCTTTGCATTGCATTTCTTGAAAGAGATCCATGGCTTCACCAATCCTCTTCATTTTACATAACCCATTAATCAAGATACTGTAACTGAAAACATCAGGCAACACATCACTTTTCATTCTATTAAGAACCTTCTTCGACTCATCAACATTATTCATCATACAGTACCCATCCATCAAAGCACTGTAACTAATAACATCAGGCTTTATGCTACTTTTCATCATCCTACCAACTATTGCCTCAGCTTTGGTTATACACCCTTTTTAACAAAATGCATCTACCAATATATTAAAGGTATAAATACAAGGAGTGATGCCTTCCAGCCCCATTTTATTTAGCAACCACGTGGCTTCTTGCCATTGATCCATGCAACAGAAACCATATATTAGAGAGTTATAGGTAATAATATCCCGAGATATTCCCCTCTCAGTCATTTCATGATATAATTTTTTTGCCTCAATTGCAAGCCCTTCTTTACAAAGACCATCGATTACTGTGTTGTATATAACTAAACCAGGCTTAACTAACCCTGTCTCCATCTTTCGAAGCAATTCAAGAGCAGCAGACGTTTTTCCAATTTTACAGAAGCCGTCAATCAGGGTGCCATAGCTTACCTCATCTAACTGAAATCCTTTTGTCAATATGTCATTATGAAAGACAAGGGCTTCTCTAACGTTAGTATTAATGCATTGACCTTTCAACAGAGTAGTTAAAGTTATTATATCTGGCTGACAGCCCATCTTGAGAATCTTCCCTAGTATAGAGAAAGCAAAAGACATGTTACCCAAATGGCAGTAACAATTGATCAAGATGTTCAGAGTAAATAAAGAAGGAGTGAATCCCTTGCATTCTGCTTTTGAGAAAAGGGAAATAGCAGTTCGGTGATGCTTCATCTTCGCGACAGATCCTAGAATCTTATTAATACGGACTATAGAGGGTTGGGGATTCATATGAAGCAAGCTATGAAATGAAGAGATAGCCTCTTCAATGCTCCTAGGAGTTGGCGAATGGGAAAAATATCTGGGGAAGGCGTACCTTGTAGTTTTACAGAAAAGCATGTTCATCATCAAAAATTGAGATCTGCTGAGGAGGAAGGGGAGAATCAGACTGTGAAGAACCATGCGCCTGAAGATCACAAGCGCTCGCCACAAAAAATCATACGCAATCTCCGGCTGCGACGGCGAGCCTAGGAATGGAGGGTCACCTTTGTTTTCCGGGAAAGATACTTTTAATAATAATCGCTAACTATGAAATTCATTTTACGGATAAAATATAGGGGAAATTGCAAAAAAAGACCTTGGAATTGCAAAAACGCAGATAGGGACCCTTGACAACTTCACTTTGGGTTTTGACAACTTCAGGGCATATTATTCTTGTCAAAACCCATAGTGAAGTTGTCAAGGGTCCCTATCTGCGTTTTTGCAATTCCAAGGTCTTTTTTTGCAATTTTCCCTAAAATATACGATCATTGTCATTTTTTTGGGTACAAGGATTAATATCATTTTTACTTGGGAGAGTTTGATAATCCCAAAAACTATTTTAAAAAATATTTTTATACAAATGAAGGTAAAACTCTTTTACAAATCGATACAAATTCTTTTTATATAAACTCTTCCTTAGTGTAATTTGTTTTCATTTTGATTTTGCTTTCAAAAATTTAAAACCAGTGCTTTTGCTCCACAAAATTTTATAATAGAAACAAAATTTTTTTTAAACAGATTAAATAAAATTTTGATTTTAGAAATTAAAAATAGTATTGAATGCAAAATATTTTACGAATTATATTCTTGACAAATCATAAAATAGGAAAATGAATTGAGGTAAATTACGTATAATCTCTCAATGAAGATTGTTTTTTATGTGAGTTTTGATCTCACTCTCTCTATTTATTGTGAATTTAAATTATTCAAATCAAATCAAATCTCAATAATTTCCATTTATTTATTATTTTAAATTTATAAAAAAATTTTAAATTCAAACTTATTAAATCAAGTCTCCCTGAATACGCAGAGTTGGCTTTATGAATTTACAGACTTCAAATCTTTAGTTAGAGATGGGAATCAAGACCAGCTCTTCAGGGTTAGCGGGCTTAAAAAGGCCAACCCTCCAAGACTGAAATTTCAAAAATATCCCAATTTATTAGGCCTAGTCCTTAAGCTAACAAGCTCAGAGCTAACCCGCAGGTTTTAACCCGTTTAAGAAAAAAATGTTATTTTTTATATTTATCATATTTTTTATCAAAAAAATGAAAATAAACCAATGAAATTGTTAATAAAAAAATATAAATATGAATAAAATTAAGTCACAAATACAAAATATCATCATATATAAATATCCATCAACATTCAATAACATCTAAAACATTCATTAACAAGATAATAACATCCAAAAGTTTTATCTATAATGCAATTGTGCAATAAATAAACATTATCATTAATCTTTTGAAATTTCATCATCACTATAATCAATTACTCTTCTTTATAAATATGTTTTTCTTTCGTAACAAAAATATCAAGTTTTTTTTATATAAATTTTCTTTTTAAATTTTGCAATCTAACTATTATTTTACTTTAATGTGAGAAATATTATTGTTGAAATTCATGAATTTCTAATTCAAATTATAGAATCACAAGTTATACAAGTATAAAAATATTCTATTATCAAATATATATATATAGTTTAAAAATATCAACACATATAATATAAATCAAATCATTATTAAAATCCAAATTAACCCATTTTTTAAAAATTTAATTGAATAAATTATTATCAAAAACTAAATAAATCAAATCATTCTGTAAAATTTAATTTTAAAATAATAATAATAACTAAATATTTGAAATATTATTAACAATATAAAAAATCAATAATATTAGAATTGCATAAAAAATTTTAGAAAAATATATAAAATGGCCTAAACAGGCCGGCTCTTGACCCTCCAGAGCCGGCCTTTTTAAGCACTCAGCCCTCCAGGATTAGTCCTTCAGGACGTATTTTCCATTTGAAGGGAAAAATTTCAAGCCCGGACCTCATAATTTTAACGCCTAAATAAGCCAGCCTGACGGGCTCGATCTGTTTTCCCGGCTCTATCTTTAGTGATGATATATTAGTAAAATGACCCAAAAAAAGGCCTAGAAGATATTAAATGATTGCAAGATACTTTATTTTAACCGTTTCAGATTAATCATTTATACTGAAGTAAAAATTCATCAATGTTGTTTGAATAAAGTTCACTGATATTATTTGGATTTTACCCATTGCCTAGGTTCAGCGGTTATTAACAATTTTTGAGTTTGTTTTTACCATTTCGGATTAGTCATTTACACTTAAGTGAAAATTTATAAAATTTGTTTGGATTTTATCCATTTCCTAAACTTCATCAGCTATTAACACTTCTTGAATAGGTCTGTGATCATTTTGAATTAGCCATTTGTAACATATGATTGTGCATTACCTTCATCCTATGCCAACTTTAAACCATGTAAGCAAGCCCAAATTTCGACCGAACAAAGATACGATAATGGAGCAAAAATAATTATTCATCCTATGATCTAGTTTCAACTAAAATCATTTGGAAGGTTCCAGTGAACAAGAGTATCTAATCCAAAATTGCAACAAGGCAGAAGGAATCAAGAGTTGTACCAAGAAAAATGCAACAAGGCAGAAGGAACCACAAAATTAGAGTAGGGATTTAAAGAAGAGCATGACCAATCTGAAGCTATAAAATCTGGAGAACATGTCGTGACAATGATAGAGGATGACCACAGAGCGTGACGATGATAAAGGACAACCACACAGCGCAACGACGCAACAATGATGGAGGAGGATCACGGAGAGTGAAGATAATGGAGGAGGAACCACAAAACAACAGGAAAAGACCAAAAATGATGTGGGGATGGTGGATTAGAGGGCTGGGAGGTTTGGGCAGAGCTTATGAAGTAGAAGGACGCCTAAAATTTTAAAACAAGGTTAAGCGAAATGAACAGATTAGGGGTTTTAAGACACACTTGATGGTTTTCCAATATAACCGTCAAGTACGCTTGACAAATAATTGACGGTTATATTGAAAAACCGTCAAGTATTACTAAACTTGACAGTTTTCAAAGAAACTGTCAAATTTTTGTTTTTCATGCTTGACAATTCCTTCTAGAACTGTCAAGTATTCTCAAACAATAATTGACGGTTCCTTTTAAAACTATCAAATTTTTGTTCTGGAAAATTCCACCTCTCCTTATTTGATAGTTTTTATCATAACCGTCAAATATTTGGCATCAAGTATTTGTAATTCTGTAGTAATGAGACCTCAAGCACATAACTATGCAAAAAAATCAAGAAAGCTCTGATTTTCTAAAAACAACAAACACCCTTTGCATGAGGCTAAGATGTGAAAGCCATGGAATTAAAAAAAAAAGGGCATTTAATCACTCTCCAAAAGGTTTTCATCCCCAGAACCATAACAAAATGATAGATTTTCACAACATTTGAAATAGTTTTGTTTCTTTTTTTATAAGAAATATTTTTTTTCTAAATATATATTTAAAAGAAATGATGGAATGAGAGAATGAACCTTTGAATAATTATCAGCCACAAAAGCTGCCTATCTGTTCATCCCAATTTTTTTTTTTAAAAAAAAAAGCTCCCTATTTGTATAAGCAAGAATCTAGACCTGGGAAAGCGGGCTGGCGGTGCGGATATGGGCCAGCCTGCTGCGGTGCGGGCTGAAGTAGCCCGCACCTTGGCGGGCTGCATTTTGCCAGCCCGAGCCCGCCAACCCGCCTAATTTTTTTTTTAAAATTTATTATATTAGTATGAGTTAAGCCTAATTTGAAATGTTGAAATTAGGCTCCGAGTTTTAAACTTGAGTAATGGATCCTAATAAAAAAAAGAGAATTAATTTATAATATTGGAAGAAATTTAAGAAAAACTAACATATATATTTTTTTATAAATAATTAATTTAACTAGTTTTCTTATTCAAATTAATTAAGTAAATCTTTTATGTGTGTGTACGTATGACTATATGAAAATCACATATTTATCTAATCTTATGAAGCCGTGCATACTAACGACAAATAGATATAAAAATAAAAGATAGATAGTGCTCTTCATATAACCATACATATATATGAAGTGCTTAATTAATTATATATATAATGATATTGATGAGGTAATGTCCATATGAAATTTAATGGTCAAAATCATCTAACTATATTATATAATGTATTAAAAATCAAAACAAGTTAAAAATAATAAAAAAACGGGCTGGTGGGCCAGCCCGCGACGGAGCGGGCCAAAAGCGGTGCGGGCTAGAGTAGCCCGCACCGTGGTGGGCTGAGAAAACATCAACCCAAGCCCGCCTTTTTTGGCGGGCTGGCCGGCTGGGCCCCGTTATTATCGGCTCTACAAGAATCAAACAAGACCACTAGCAGTAATACCGCGATGGACAGAGAGCAACGCGTAAGTCAGCGACCCTCCAGTTTCAGTATCTCTTCATGATGACCTGGATTTGGTATGTTTTCTAGTTCTACCCACTTTGATCTGATCTGGCTAGCAATGGAATATAGGTTCTTTGCTGAGATCTAGTCACTTAGGGTTGGTGGCAGTTTTGTGGCAATGATTGGAGTTTCACCGGATTAATGCATTGTCGTTGTTGGTAGTGGTGTTTCCTCTTATGTGGTCGTCATAAGTTTGCTTTCATGGTAGCATATGGTTTGTCAAAAGGAATGGGACCTTATTTCGGACTTGTTTTTCGGTGGCTCTGCTTTCTGGTGGCAATGGCGGCGGAGGCATCCTTCTGCCTCTTTTGATGTTTTGGTTTTTATTTCAAACTTTCTGTTAGACTTTCCTTTTTTTTTAATAAAACATAAATACTTCTGTCCAAAAAACACTTTTTAGTGATGATTTATTAGTAAAATGACTATAGAAGATATTAAATGATTGAGAGATGCTCTATTTTAACCGTTTCAGATTAATCATTTATAGTAGAATGAAAATTTACTAATATTGTTTGGATAAAGTTCACCTAAGCTTCATTAGGTATTAACAATTCTTAAATTTGTTTTCATATTAAATCAGCTATATTATTCAAGAAATTTGGGGATGCATACCGTGTAGCTCTGCCGAAAAGCATGTTCACCATCAGTAATTTTGTTTACATATATTATTTTTTGAGCTACATTATGC